TCCGAGTATAGTGTCAAATAAACAAGGGTTCCCGCATTACGGAGAAATGCGAGTAAAGAAATTAGTCCATGAAACTAATATTAGGATAAGATCTTGGAATACAGGTATTCTCAACGGTAAATTAATGGAATTAGTTGATATTATGATTCATAGAAAGATAAATATTTTATTTACTCAAGAAACTAAATGGGTTGGAGAAAAGGCTAAGAAGATTGATAACTTAGGTTTTAAATTTTGATATTCTGATAAGAGTCGCACTAGAAATGATGTTGATATACTTATAGATAAGGGTTTGAAAGATAATATTGTAAAAATTAATAGAGTTGGGGATAAAATTATAGTATTTAATATTATTATTGATACTAAGATTTTTAATATAAGTGTTTATGCTCCTCAAATAGGATTAAATATAGGTAAATTATGGAATGACTTAGATTACTTAATACAAATGAAACCTCTTGAAGAAAGAATTTCTATTGGAGGAGATTTAAATGGACATGTCGGTAGAGTGGTAGAAGATTTCAGAAATATTCATGGCGGCTATGGTTTTGGAGTGATTAATGAAGAGGGTAGAGCCATATTAGCTTTTTTTTTAGCATATGATTTGTTATTACTAATAATTTATTCAAGAAAAAAAGATGAGCATCTTATTACTTATAAGAATGAATCTAATAAAATAAGAATTGATATTTTCTTATGAGAAAAAGAGATCATCGAGATTGTAAAGATTGTAAGGTCATTCTAAGTGAGGAGTTAAGTGCCCAACATCATTTATTAGTTCTTGATTTTAAGATGAAGAGTTGTGAAATAAAGAATACTAGAATTCATCAACGTAGAATTAGATGGGGGTACCAAAAAGGCATAAATAAAATTATTTTTATGAGTAAAATTCAAGATATCAAAATTTGGGATGTTCATGAAGAAACAAATGTTATGTATGATAAAGTAACATGCACTATTAAATAAGTGACAAAAGATGTACTTGGAGAATCAAAAGAAAAATTTTTATAAATAAAAATATTGGTGGAAGAATAATAATATACAAGAAAAGATAAAATATAAGAAGTTATATTATAAAAATTGGTTTAGATGTAAAAACTTAGAGAACTAGAAAAAATATCAAACGACCCGCAAATAGTATAAAAGAATAATCTGTGACGCTAAAAATTTTGCTTTTAATGATCTTTATAATAGATTAGATACTAACGAGGGTGAAAATTATATGTATAAACTAGCCAAACAAAGAGAAAAGAAAAGTAAATATTTAACTCAAGTATATTCAAAATGAAAATCAAAGTGTTTCTTAGAAAAAAATATTCAACATAGGTGGGTGAGTTATTTCGATAAATTTTTTAATGAAGTTTTTGAAAATACGATTGACATTAGTAATCTTAATATCGTTCATAATAATAGAATGTTTAATTTTTACTGTCGCATTAGTAAAAAGGAAGTTGATGAGGCTTTAAAGAAAACCAAGGATATAAAATCTGTAGGACCTGATGATATCTCAATTGAAGTGTGAAAATATTTAGGAGATTTGGGACTTCCTTGGCTTACTAAACTCTTTAATATTTTTTTAAAAATGCAAAAAAGATGTCTGAGGAGTAGAGGAAGAGTTCTTGAGAAGCTAAAAGCAATAAATGGAAGTTATACATTTATTGCGAGGTTTGATGGAGAAATTCAGAGATAATAAGGAGGATCTATATTTGATATTTATTGATTTAGAAAATGCTTACGATAAGGTTCCAAGAGATATCCTTTGGAGAGTTCTTGAGAAGAATGGTGTTGATATGACTTATATTCAAGTTATTAAAGATATGTATACTAGAGTTGTTACTTGTGTTCGAAATGATGGAGGATTGACCAAATATTTTCCTATTTTTGTTGGATTACATCAGGGATAAACTTTAAGCCCATAGCTTTTAGCTTTGTTTATGGATGGTCTTATTGGACATTTACAGGAGGATGTACCTTGGTGTATGTTTTTTGCTAATGATATCCTTCTCGTGGATAAGACGAGAGAAAATGCCCAGGAAAAACTTGAATTATGGAGCCCTACATTGGAGTCTAAAGGCCTTAGTTTGAGTAGAACTAAAACTGAACACATCGAATGTAATGTTAGTAGTAGTAGTAGCTCAAGTGACAGAAGTATAACTTTGGGTGATCAAATTATTAAAAGGTGTGATTGATTTAGGTATCTCGGGTCTTTTGTTCAAAGCATTGGTGATATAGATGGGGATGTTAATAGTAGAATTTAAGTTGGTTGGTTAAAGTGGAGAAATGTTTCGGGCTTATTGTGTGATAGAAAAGAACCACTTAGACTGAAAGGAAAATCTTATAAGATTGTGGTGAGACCTACAATGCTCCTGATTGTTAGCCTTTAAAAGAGAAGCATAATACCGAGTTAAGTGTTACCGAGGTGAGAATGATTAGGCGGATGAGTGGCTTTACACTTAGAGACAAAATGCGAAATGAATATATCTGTGATAGGGCTAGCGTAGCTCCAGTGATGGGCAAAATTAGAGAGAGTCTCTTAGATGGTTTGGTCACATTAAACGTCGATTATCTGATGATCCGATTAGGAGAGTAGATGTTTTAGATTCAACTTATGTTAAGAAAGGCAGAGGCAGCCCTAGGAAGACTTTGGCGTATCGTATAAAAAATTATCTTAATTTATTAGAAATTAAATGAAAATATGACACTAAATAGGATGCAATAAAGAAAAAGAATTCATGTAGCTAACCCCACTTAGTGGGATTCAACTTATGTTAAGAAAGGCAGAGGCAGCCCTAGGAAGACTTAGGCGTATCGTATAAAAAATGATCTTAATTTATTAGAAATTAAATGAAAATATGACACTAAATAAGATGCAATAAAGAAAAAGAATTCATGTAGCTGACCCCACTTAGTGGGATTAAGGCTTTGTTGTTGTTGTTGTTGCAGATGTCATGATTAATTTGAAATAGTTTTTTTTTGAAAATTGATCAAATATTTTAACTAGATTTTATTTTAAATCTATAAACTTGATATTGAATTGAATTTTAACCTAAGCATTATTTAAAAATAATGTTATAATAATTACAATTAAAAGTTTTACAATATATAAATATTATTAAATCCACACATGTTATTAAATCCAATACTCTTCACTTGAATTCTTTTCTAATTATGTGCAGTATTTTCTATATAATTTAGCCTAAAGGTAGATAATGTGAATTTAATTTTACAAGTTGTTTATTTGGCTCACGTCTTGCATGGTTTAGCTAATATTTCTATAGTACTTACTGGTCGAACGTAAGAACTAGTGAAGGCGGTAAACAAAGTCGGCCTGCAGGAAAAACTAATTTTCCGATCAAATTTTAGCATGAATACAAGAGCTTGCATTGATCAATTATGCAAAAATGCTAAGTTAAATTCATAGTATTTTTCCCTAGCCAACTCAAGGTCAAGACTAAGGTGGTGGGGTCACCTATCAGTTTATCACATCCTAAAAGAGCTCTTCTGGTTGGTGGGAGCTCAGGACTTAAATACTGCTTTTCGGCCCTACACCTAGCCGATGTGAGACTATTTGTCCGTGACATTCTCCTCCACCCAATCACGTGACGCCCTCGTCACGGATCGGCTCCACCGAGGGTCCCACTGGACCATGGAGAGTTCACACACTTGGCAGACAGTAATCTGCTCTGATACCACTTTGTCACCTCCCAAAAGAGCCCTTAAGAGAGGTGGGCAGCCCAGGACTTAAATACTGTTTTTCGGTCTTACACCGATGCAGGAAAAACTAATTTTCCGATCAAATTTTAGCATGAATACAAGAGCTTGCATTGATCAATTATGCAAAAATGCTAAGTTAAATTCATAGTATTTTTCCCTAGCCAACTCAAGGTCAAGACTAATGTTGTGGGGTCACCTATGTGTCACATCCTAAAAAATCCCTTAAGAGAGGTGGGCAGCTCAGGACTTAAATACTGCTTTTCGGCCCTACACCTAGCCGATGTGAGACTATTTGTCCGTGACATTCTCCTCCACCCAATCACGTGATGCCCTCGTCACGGATCGGCTCCACCGAGGGTCCCACTGGACCATAAAGAGTTCACACACTTGGCAGACAGTAATTTTGGCAGACAGTAATCTGCTCTGATACCACTTTATCACCTCCCAAAAGAGCCCTTAAGAGAGGTGGGCAGCCCAGGACTTAAATACTGTTTTTCGGTCTTACACCTAGTCGATGTGAGACTATTTGTCCATGACATATGGTTGTCTAAAGTAAGGTGGGTCAATCAAACTTGAAGTGCAAGAATAGCTCTAGGCTAGGTAGATTCATGAGCCAAGCTGAACAAGGTAGATTAGCATGTTTAATAAGTTTAATTTAAAAGGATGTCTAATGGATCACGTCAAATCAGGCCTAGATAAAAGATTTAACAAGATGGACCTTACTTACAAAGGTGTGTGGTACACTCTCTAATCCTGAAGGTGTTCTGAGGGTTAGAGCAGGGTAAATAAAGTTAGGGTTTAGCCTTCAATCAACCGCAATGGCAGTAGTTTTTATAGGAGTCTAAGCAAATTGTTAGGGTAAGTCTACACCAAGGTGAAACCATAAATCTCAATGACTTGTAAGTCCAACAAAAGTGAAATCAATATCAATATTAGATTGAAACAATACAAATCTCGTCAATTTTTTTTACAAATTTCATTTCTAAGTCATGTTTTCTATTTAGATGCAAGTAAAAGGGCTTCGAAACACGAAGAGAAAAAGAGATTCACCCCTTCACTTACAATAGAGTATGAAATGTCACTCGCTGTAAAATAAAATGACAACTACTTTCTTTATTGACCTGTTATCTGACAGGTTCTCAAAAAAGAGATTCAAAATCTAAATTTTGCAAGCAGGACTGTCTAATGAATTCATTGGATTTATGCAAGAAAAAAAATATTAATCGAAATCTACCTACAAACACAGATAGTGGATTGAAAAAGACCTCGCAGAAATGCGCAAAATATCATTCAATTAACTCAAAAAAACTACTACTGAACAAATATCTCATCAAGATTGTACCCTACCTGCTTTGATGCAGATTAAATCACCACAAATTGAGATGAACCAGCTTGTTTCCAATTACAAAGCATCATAAATGTAAACGTTCCGAATTACATATCTTGAAAGACATGAAAGCCAAAGGAAAAACACAAACCTCCAGATTAAAGACCCTCACCATAGGTATCCTGGGATTTTAATGCGAATGAAGAGCATACTCATAACATACGCAATCAACACGGCGGAGATCCCAAAAAGCGCAAAAGAGAGGCGAACACTGCGAGCGCGGTGACGATCTACAGCTAGATCCAAAAAAATAAGACCGAACCCGCCGAGGAGGAACATAAAGCCGGAAGAGAGACCCTCGATAATGTATTGCCCATTAACGCGGCCAGGGAGGAAGACGATCGGACGAACCGTACCGGTAGCGGGATCCTGAGTGCTACCGATGCCCGGAGGCTCAACGATAACATCGTATACAAGACCTGAGACGACAGCGAAGTAGGTTAGGAGGAGGAGTGAGAAGACAGTCATCGGGGAAGGGAGAGCCACGGAGGAGGGGAGGCGAAGGCGGGTACGCGGAGGGCGAAGGAAGCTGTAAGGGAGGAAGCGGAGGAGAAGAAAAACGGGGTCGAAAGATTCCAGATCCGACGATGCATTAGCCGCACTGCCGGCCGCTGCGGCGCCGCCAGGTACGGGATTATCGGATTTCGACCGCATCGCTGCTCTCTATTTCGGCACTCTGGGACACTGGTCTCTACGAGTTTAGGGAATAGGGATCGGGAGCAAAATCTTGCAGGCGAACCGGTGCTTGGAGCACCAACCGGTCTCTGTTAAGGTTATTTTGCGTTTTTTTTCCTTCTTTTTATTTATTTATTTTTGACATTTAGTGTCATACCATTAAATTACTTTACACCTGAATTTTAATATTTATATAAATAGAAATTTCGCATTTTCAAAGTATGCATTAATTTTTTCACTTCTAGAAGGTGCTAATATTGCTAGTTTTGATGTGATATTAAAGTTTTGAATTCTCGACACACACGTAAATATAAAAATTTAAGTGGGAGATATGTGAATAAATAAGAGTTATGTGCTAGATATAAAAATGCCCCAAAAATTACTACATATTTACATATATAACATCTAAATTTTCAAACTTACATACTATATATACCAAAATACTAGCACGAATCTCAAAGTCATCAGAAGTCTCAAATAGAGGTCAAGCAAACAGAGCGTCCCACCACCATTCAGGCAAGTAAAATTCAACCGTCTGCGGTCTCAACCTACCTGGACGCACGTAGGAGTGTTCAAATGCAGCAGACCGACTGATCCACAACAAAAGAGATCGCCGCGGAGTCGAGCACCTCAACCCACCGAGACGTACATCGGAGGACACAATTGCCACTCGGTCGGTCGTCTCAGTCAACTGACGCCAAGCTAGTCGGCCAGCCGATCACGACCATAATTGAAATTCAAATTGTAATGCAAATATGACATGAAATCCATATAAATAATTATTGCTTTAATCACATTAAGAACAGTTTTCATAACTGTTCAATCATTTCCGTAATTTTACAAAATACTTCCATATAAATATGGAGCAAAAAATACGAATAAAAGAACTTCTCCCTTGACTCTTGCAATTGTGAATTTCATGCTTACTCTACTCTGTCTCCTCCTTCTCTCCTTCACCCAATTTTAACTCTTGAGGCATGATTCACAAAGGACAAAGTAGCATCAAACATCCTAACAAACGGTGCGGTGAGCGTGGATCATGCCGCAAACGAGAAGCAGGAAAGACAACGAACGAGAAAGTTCCCAAAGAGAAATAATGCACATAAAACACAATAAAGAGTCTACGCAACCAGATGTGCAACATAAAGTTTAGGTGTTGCAGACCCAAATGACTCTCATGATGGAACAATTCTTAGTCCTCCGTGCAGCAATCACCCAGAGGAAAAACCATGCACCTCATCTAGAGTCAGAACCTCAGGAGGTCTAGAAGTAAAAGGAACTTCATAAGAATTAACTCCATGTCTAAAAACGACATATTTCACTAATAAATCTACATTTGTCTTACTAGTGGGCTTCAATGGTTGTAGCAACTCCTCTCGTTTCTCAAAACCACACCATACTGCTGACAAAGGGAGAAAATAAGAGATGGCTATCCTAACCCTAAAGTTGAACTTCCCATTACACCATTGATGGTAGATTTGTAGATAAGAGAGCCAATTTCAATAGTCTTCATCGTCTGAATACAATAGTTCAATGCTTCCCTTTCTCTAGTAACCTCACTGAGATTGGTGGAAGGAAGAAGCCTGACTGAGATAAAATAATGTCATGCCTTGGGCGGAGCATTTAGCTTAGATGAAGAAAAATTTACCTTCCCTACACCAAAAATAGTGCCGACATCCATCAGTCAAGAACTTAATAATATCATCAAGCTGAGAATCAGTGGGTTCAAATGAAGAGTAAAACAATCAGACACATCTCCAAAAGAATAGAGTGAATTGATACGTGCAAGGGTAACATTCACTCTCATTTCCCTAACAAAGATGGTATCATAAGGAGATTTGCATAGAACTCTCTCACAATAGAAATGACAAATACGGTAGTAGTGTAGCAAAAAGTTTCCCAATGATGAGATACAATGATGTTTTCTACATCTCCACCATGGCTAAGGAAACCCTGGTCAGCGATTAGTTTCTTCGATATAAGAAATTCATTATATCTCTCCTGTGCTTTGTAGCTAGCAAATTTCTTACGATCAAATGCACTTTTACTCTTACTCCATTTGGTTTTTGGTGCCATACTAACTAGAGAAAAATAAATAAAGGAAGAAATGAGTTCAAATGTAGGATGTATTTGACTCAAAATGCAAGTTTAGAGAATAAATCAACTCTCCCCAAGTACTTTTTCTTCTTCTCACTGTATTCCCAAAAAAAATATCTGAAAACTTATCGAATGCAGAAGAAAACACAAGGTTAAGGAAAAATTGCAATGTTCAAGGAGTTTTATCTGAAGAAGATGAAGTTTGCTCTTCTCAAGCCCCAAAATGCATGCAAACACTAATAGGAAGAAAACCCTGGGAGTCACCTTCAAAGCTTAGAGAAAGGTCAGGGAAGATGTCATGGTTGAGAGGGATGTCACGTGCGAATGAAAAAAAATTTTTGACCTAGGCTGGTATTTTTCTTTTTTTTTCAGGTAGGTGTTTCGGTGCCTATGCATCACAGTTCAACACCTAGGCACTCAGATATGTGGCGCCTTGGCGTCAGTGCTTTGTTTGTTTCTTTTTAAGTATCATTTCACCAGAGATGTATAGAACCTAATTTGCACAACCCAACTTCAATTTTTGCCATTTAAATTTAGTATTTTTAATTCTCCCCAAGTTTTCATTCACTCCAATAAACTCACAAACACAAAAGATAGAAAGAAATCTAACTCTTCATCCTTCTCATCACATCTCCCTTCTTTACTTATAATTTCTAATGGAATCACCATCCAAAGAATAATTGGGTGCTCATAGATATTTTATTAGGGCAAACCATTAACAAGATTGTCCTTGATACTTTGTTTTATGTGTTGTCAACCTCAGGTATTACCTCATCTTATAAGAGATGCACCTCTAACAATAATAAGAATAATGTAAAGATCATCCTCATGTTTATCACCAACTTGTTTATTAAACCCATTTGATGAAAACATGGTCAGATAAAGAAAGTAATAGAATCTCGTTAGACCTGTCCAATGTTCAAACCCAACATGTCTCTAGTAAATCCTCAAGTTTGGTTTAGAACTGAGTCGTAGTGAACTAGTTAATCCAACTACCACGAGAGAACAAATATAACTTTAGCCACTACGAGGAGCTAAGGAATCGTCACACTCCTAACTTACTAAAGTTAAAGCAAACCAATTCAAACCAAACAAATCAGCACACTACTTCACTCAAACCATAATATTAAAATACTAATTATATCACACTAAAATACAAACAAGCACACAAATCAAAACTTGAGTTACCTTTCAAGAAGCGTTTGGTTTAGCGTGATCAGCCTGACAAATCCAAATTCTCACTCAAGTTGACCCAACATTAAAACTTCATTAATCATAAGCCTATTACAACTTATGTAAAGTTTAAGTTTTTGTTCATTCACTTTAAGCACTTTATCATTTTTAGGATCTTTAATATCGATTAAACCAAATGGATACACTTTAATTACATTAAATGGCCCCAACCACCTAAGCTTAAGTTTTGTAGGAAATAGTTTCAATCATGTATTATATAGTAAAACCTCTTGTCTAGGTTCAAATTCTTTTCTCAAAATCTTTCGATCATGCCACTTTTTTATCTTTTATTTATAAATTTTTACATTTTCATAAGATTCATGTCTAATTTCCTCGAGTTTATTTAACTGTAACAAACTCTTTTCACCAGTTTCTTTCAAATTATAATTGAATTCCTTAACAGCCCATTAAGCCTTTTGTTCTAATTCCACTAGCGAGTGATAAGCTTTTCCAAATATGAGCCTATAAGATGACATTCATATAGGAGTTTTGTAAACAGTATTATAAGGCCATAATGCATCATCAAGTCTAGTAGACTAATCCTTTATGTTAGGATTAACAGTCTTTTCTAAGATTCTCTTAATTTCTCTATTAGACACTTCTGCTAAATCACTCGTCTGAGGATGATAAGTTGTGGTTATTTAATGCTTAATTCCATATTTAGCTACAAGTGTCTCAATTTCTCTAATCTTAAAATGGCTTCCTCCATCATCAATGATTACTCCAGGCAAGTCAAATCTACAGAAAATATTCTTCTATAAGAACTTAGCCACCCTTTGAGCCTCACATTTTGGAAGAGATACTGCCTCAATCCATTTAAGGTATTAAAATATATAAAATTCCAAAAGATGGTACAAATGGTCCCATAAAATCAAAACCTCATAAATCAAAGATTTAAACCTCTAAAGTAATGTTTAGGGGCATTTCATCTCTCTTAGATATGTTGCCTACTCTTTGACATCTATCACAAGTTTTTACATATATATTTGATATGTCTTTTAGCATGTTTAATTTCCTACACTTTTTACATTTGTTTATGAATGAAATTGAACTTTAAAGGAAGTTATTTTTATGTTTTTTTTTTTTGCAGGAATAATAGGAAGAACAATTGGAGTGAATTGGAGCAAAATAGAAGTGAAATGGGCAATTGGAGCAATATTGAGTGCAACAAGAGGAGCCTAGGTGCCACTTCCTGGCTTCTAGATGCTAGAACCACACCAGGAAATAGAAAAGGTGGTGCCTAGGTGGTAGAACTATCTAAAGCAATTTTTTAGAGTTATTTAGCGGTTCGAGACAATGGAAAGAAAGAGTGATTTTCTGTCATTTAAGGTCTTGGGGATGAACTTTCAAGGTCTTGAACTCCCCAGGGATTTTAGTAAATCCGTATTAGGAGTAGGATTCCACTAATTTAGAAATATTTGAAAGAGATTTGGAAGGGATTATATCAATGATTGCAAGGAGCAATAGAGAACTTCAGTTGAAGGATCTCAGAGTAGATAAAGCTAAGTATTGTATGTTTTGATTGCACTAAAACATGTATTTAGTGAACTTTTTTTGTTAAGCAGAGATATTTTGATTGTCTTTTGATCCTTTACAACACATATTTAGTTTAATTGCTTTGTTTCATGAAGTTTTCTATTGAATTTATCATCCATTGGGAGTAGAAACCATGTACTTTTCTTTTTTGATGAATTGGTAGTAAGTGTAGGGTGTTGAATTTTAAGAATAAATCTTAATTTTATATATGATGAATGCT